CAGCCGGTTCTATTCACCTGCCACTGATGGGCTTGAATGCTTAGGAGGTTAATACCCCCTCCTCCATTCAACTCCCCCACTGTGCAGGCACCCGGGCCAACCAGTAGGAGTCACTAGTGCGGTGACAAGGAGAAGATCCCTCACTGGCTTCCCAACTGTGAACCCGGCCAATAAGTAACGCTGCCGGGAATCAACCCGGTGAAAGCCGGCAAGCACTTTACCCCTGCTACCCTGAGACTGTCCTCATCAGATAAACAACAACACTGTTTTTTTGTTAAAACTTGTAAAATGAAGTGCAGTTATACTTCATGTGACAAACAAGAGTCATTTTGTGCCCTCTCAAATTAGCGAAGGTGGAAGTAACGTGATGCTTGTTGCGTTCCAAGACTTATTTGGGAAGCAATCGGGGTGCATGTTTGGGTTAACCAATCAAGTGACTTTGATTTGGGAAACACCAACAATTGACGCTTGTTACTATGACGGTGATGTATTCTTAACCATGGCCAGGACCGTAATCTTTCCCTGACTTTGAACAAATGGTTTCAGTTGCTTAAACTTGTCCAAAGCTTAACCATAGACGCGGCAGCTCATGACTTATTTTTGAAACAGTCATATGAGTCGTACTACTTCTTTCATAAATCTGGAGTTACACAATCTGTAAAACAAGTACAAAATGCTTTTAAACGTATTTACATTGATCTTACAAATTATACAATTTTGGAAACTGCATTTCTTTTTAATTTGCCTGTGTGCATGTGACTCCTGTGTGTGTGTGTAACAGACTGTGCGGCTCCTCCTGCTCAGGGTATTGGAGTTAAAAGGGAAGTCTTCAGGCTAAGTGGTGGTAAGCGCGCTGCCTCACAGCCATCAGATCAAATGAAATCACTTTGCGTGTATGTGTGTGTGTTTTATTTTTCTTTACGTTTCAATTCATTCATTCATGACCTTGGCAATCATGACACTAATTTACACACAAAGCAACTGTACCTTAGAGACTTATTCATAAGGAGTATAATGTTAAGACATGCACAGGAAAAAAACAAGGAAAAACATCCCTCACAGTAGAAAATATAGAAAAATAAATTTTTTATAAAAATATACCTGTCTCACGCAACACTGAAGGTTGGCATGATGGTGCTGAATCGGTACTAAACACCCTGTGAATAAGCACCAAAATATTACACCGTCAGGGAGTGATCCTAAACACAAGTTGTAGACTAAGCCAGAAAATAATAATCTGAACCTTTCACACTATTTTACCTCCAGATTCTTTGTATTTGAGGGTTTGTGCATTTCTTAATAAATGTACTGTATAATGTGCTATTTATACAAACGTTATTTTATGAATTTAAATAGCAAAATTACTATTCTTCGGCTCTTCCCTCTGAAGTTTAACACAACCGATGACATTATTTCTGATTCTGAGAAAACTAAAACTCCAGTCTGCATTTATTCAGGGATGAAATGGAACTGAAGTAACAGACGTAGCCCTGGGCTCACAAAGTTTTCTATGCTGAAAGTAAGATAAGGGAATGTTTAGTTATTTGAAAAAACTAACAGCTATTATGTCTGTCAATTAGTGTGTCTGTGCTAATCTTATAGCAAAAGCATATTTATAATAGATCTTTTCTTTTGATAGTGCTCTTAGGGGCAGTAATTAGCTCTTTGTGCTTAGGTAATGGTATGGGCCTCTTGGCTCTAAGGCTATTCACAGACAGATTGCTAATGGAGGCGCATTTGTATCCAGTCCCATCATTCCTTCATCAGTCACCCACCCCTTTCATTTAAAACACTCTAGCAAAGAGAGACACACATACCCAATTGTATAAGCACACACACACAGTCTTTAAAGGGTCTGGTAAAAATCCGACACACCCACACTTTATGTGCTCAGCTCAGAGTGTTTGTGTGTATGTGTGTGTAATTTGAGATTGTTTTGTGTGTGTGTGTGTGTGTGTGTGTGTGTGTGTGTGTTAGAGCATGAGAGATGGGTCCATTGGGAGGCCAGAAGCATGATAGCAAATGTTTGACTAATGAGTGAATAATGAGTGTATGTTTGTATTTTGTGTTTGTGTTTTGCAGTGTGTGTGTGTGCGTGCGCCCTTGTGCATGTGACTCCTGTGTGTGTGTGTGTGTGTGTGTGTGTGTAACAGACTGTGCGGCTCCTCCTGCTCAGGGTATTGGAGTTAAAAGGGAAGTCTTCAGGCTAAGTGGTGGTAAGCGCTGCCTCACACCAATCAGATCAAATGAAATCACTATGTGTGTGTGTGTGTTTGATTCTCAGATTCATAAAAGTGGGGCCGGTTTGGTGTGTGTGTGGTTGGGGGGGGGTTGATGTATTGACAGGAGGTCATGTTGCAGGCACATCTGAAACCCGAGCTGATACCAGGGGACAGTCAGAGCATCCCGACCTAGCTGTATCAGCCGTGTGTCCCCTCTGGTCTCTTTTTTGTTCGTCCTTCTTTTATTGACGTCTCATTTATAACTGCTTGGGAACATTTTTATTGAGTATAGTTTATAGTTTTATGATACATCCCTAAAATTGGAGACTACATAAAAAAAACAAGGGCACCTCAGTCCTCACTCATGAGTTTTATTATTATGACAGAGGGACAAGAAGTTCAAAAACCAGAAACATACTTTGCACTATAAAACCTCATGCAATGCGGTGAAGGCAAAAATGACCTTAAAGCTGCAATAATAATAATAATTAAAAAAAAATTCATATTAACACTATATTAAATGACCATGTTAATGTGTAATGTGAAAGGTGTTGCTCATAGTGGCAAACCCAAAGAGAAATATAACAAAACCCTACAGAGTGTTTGCCATCTTTCAGCTCATTGTTTTGGTTTGTCAGCCTGCAATTTTACTGTTTTGATTGATTCTCAGTGCTCTTGTCAATCCTGTTTCCTCTACCTACCCAGCAGCAAACAACAGAAAGTCTATGACTAGTTGGCAGAGATGCTCACAAGTCTTTGTGCTAGAGTCCAAGTCAAGTCTGAAGTCACTCAAGGTTATAATGTATGAGTTAAGTCTGAAGTCTTTTGAGTTCGAGTCTCAAGTCGAGTCCCCATCTCTGCTAGCTGATGAGTGGATAGTGGAACATTTAGCAGCTCAGGAGTTGGTATACACCAAAACAGAGCCAAAAGGAGAGTGAATATTAAACTTGCATTCATCAGGTGGACACAAACAACACTCGAAATGCGTGCTGATTTTGCTCTGTCTTGTTTAGACCAGTGGTTCTCACTGGCTCCAGGGGGTCCCCAGCAAGAGAAATAATTTAGTTTCTCTGTAATTCCACACATAATGACAAAATTTATTACTATTTTGGTCATGGGTTTTATACACTTTCTGTAATAAAACATGTAAAAGCAAAAGATGGGTGACCCTGGGGCAAAATCTTTTCAGTCAGTTTAGAGGTCCTTGACGTTAAATAGTTTGAGGACCACTGGGTTAGACGAACAGTCTGCTAAGATTAGCCGTAACAACTTTATCAATAGTGTGTTTACAGCCTGTCCCACTGCCCTCAAGTGGAAAACAAAAATGAATGCTGCAATGTTTTGTTGAGCAAATACAATATTGTGGATGATTAAATCATCATTTTTAACACTACTATTTAAGTAGTCAGTTAAAGTTATAAAGTCAGTTATAAAGATTTAATTTTTTGATTTCATTCTGGACAAACCTTTGTCATTGTTTGGGGGTCTAGGTGACTAAAATCTCATATTTAGAAATCCAGATCAGTTGAAAGCCTAAAGGTCCACACCAGTGGTTTTGTCTGTTTTAATACATGTTACGTCACATTAGCAATTTTGCAAACCATGCTGCTGTTTTACAAATTTGAATTTTTTTCAGCCATTTTGGACGACCACTGATCACCATTCATATCTTAAGAAAACTAATGGCTGAACTGTAGCCATTAGTTACTAATATCAAGCTCTTCAAACTTGCTTATATTATGTAATCCATCACAACATGGAAACACCCCACACTGTGCACTTAAACGGCATTATTATAGACCTATAACGTAACATTGATAAAAATAATGCAGGCTTGATGTTCACTATCACTGACACTGTCGAAAAAATTAAAATTCTTATTGATTTTTTACTATATGGAAATGAATAGAAACCAATGGCTGACTGGAAGCTTAAGGAAAATATGTCTAAAAAGCTAAAACTGTCCAGCATGCATTTGAAAATGGTCAGCAAAGACATAAAGGACACGTGATTTGTAGTTAGGAGATGAAACTTGTAAACTGGTATGGGCCCTTAAGCTCTGTTTAAACAAGCCGAGATGCTGATTCAGAGCCGTTATGACCATGCCGCTGAGGCTGCGTGTGTTTGGTCAGACAGTCAGGTGTGTGGCAGGTGTGTTGGCAGATGTCCCCGATCCCCCGAGTCCCCAGTTGGTCCTGGGGGCCCTCTGGAGTCATTTATCTCTAAATGAGTCCCATCTGCTGTGCTTCTGGTGTGGAGGTAGAGGTGAGCAGAGCGAGGCACATTCAAGGAAAGACTCCTGTGTTTATGTAGCACGGCTGTCGCCTGCCTGTGTGTCTGGATCACTGGAGATCTACTCTTTCGACACTTTGTCACACTGAGTGTGAGTATTATGTCTGTCAAAGTGACTAATGGGGGAGTGTATTATGTGTGTGTTTCTGATCGCTGATCGTTTCTGCTAAGGCATTTTGGAGGAGTCGCATCCTTAGCTACTTCTCTGAATGATTTCAAGCGAAAGCTGTGTCAAGTCAAACAATATTAAAAAAAGAAGTAGATTTTATCACTATTTCATTCTGCCTGCGTGTCATATCAGTCTCATTCTCATGAAAATGTAAGACTACTGTGAGGTCAGCCTATAGCAGCATCCAGGAACCCTGGTACAACAATCAGATATTGCTGATGACAGAGAGACAATAATAACGTCTGCTTTTTTATTAGTATTGGTAGTAGTTTTGCCAGTAATTTGTCTTTGCAACATATTTTTTCCTGTACTTCCAGGAGTATGATGCCCAAAGCCCTGGAAGGCCAGATTGTTATGGAGAAGACGCCTCGTTACTTCGTTACTGTGGAAACGCCAGCACGGGTCCATTCCATGTCGCAGGATGTGAAGCTGATTGTGGTCGTCCGTGACCCCGTGACCAGAGCCATATCTGACTACACACAGATCATCTCCAAGACCCCCGACATCCCTCCCTTTGAGAGCCTCGCCTTCAAGAACCGCACCACAGGTACTGTACACTGCATCTGAGAGACACACCTGGTGTCTTCCTGACTGATATAATCAGCTTCACTGAAATATTTTCGGCAAAAACATGTCAAATTTTTATTTATGAACAACTACATTTTTCTGTGTGCAAAATCCTCAATATCTTAAGTATCACTTAAAAATGAAATTAGCATTAGAGTGTGAGCAAAGCAATGATGATTTTGAATAAAGAGCTTTGGTGTATCTCTGTTTTGTCTCTAGGTCAGATTGACTCTCTGTGGAGCCCGCTGTGGATTGGCCTGTATGCCCAGCACCTGGAGCGCTGGCTGGCCTGGTTCCCCAGGACTCAGATCCATCTGGTCAGCGGGGAGAGGCTCATCTCTGACCCGGCCGGAGAACTGGGCAAAGTCCAGGACTTTCTGGGTCTCCAGAGGATCGTCACGGACAAACACTTCTACTTCAACAAAACGAAAGGCTTCCCCTGCCTGAAGAAACCGGAGGGCAGCAGTAAACCTCACTGCCTCGGGAAGACGAAAGGGAGGACGCATGCCTCCATCAACCCAGAGGTGATGCAGAAACTGAGGGACTTCTACAAGCCGCATAACCAGCGTTTCTATCAGATGGCGGGCCAGGACTTTGGATGGCAGTGACCCTTTGCCTGTGTTGAACCAGATGCTTTTGTGAGCATTACACTGCTTTGGGTCAAGTCTGTGCAAATCTTCCATCTGACTGAAACAGATGCAAAGACTTGGAGTGCAAACGTTTCAGAGGACAGAGCCAATTACCCGCTTCGGACCAGCAGAGGGACATTTCAGAGACTTAATTATGAAAGGCCAGTGTCAATATATTCACCCCTATCAATGGATCATCTTGTTCAAGTGTTTGAAAGACAGCTGTGTCATTTCATTTTCATTTGGTAGGCTACTTATTCCTACCCCAGGTGGTTATATAAAGCATTTGTGTGCAAAGTTGGTCACTGTGGTTGCTATACGTTAAGGCTGTAAAAAGTTGATTGATGAAATACCCAGTGTAGCTTTTAGTGTCTCCGGTCTGCATTTTAATCCTGATGCTCTAGTTGGTAGGCTATAGTGGCACAATGAACCCAGAACAGATGAATTTTCACATTCCTGAATTTCCATAACTTTCTTTTTCTACCTGTTTGTTCTTCAGTCTCAGTGGTTAAGAATTTAAGGGCAATCAGTGCATACATATTGAGTATCGTCCTCCAAGCATTGTTCCCGAAAAGAGGGGGATGAATCTTTTATGTGGCAAGCAGCAGAGGGGTGAGGGAGAGAATCTTTATATGAGCTCAGATTTGACTGAGTGGTTTTGTATTCTTGAATAATGAATGTGGATAAATGGATGTAGGGGAACTGGCGTGCATCACTTGCCTCTTCGCCTGTTGGCACATTATAGGTTAGCATCCAACTGCAAAACCACCCAACTGTACCTTGAGAGATGTAAAGGGGCCACTGGAGGACAACCAAGACCAGGTCAAGTCAGCGAGAGAAGGTCGACCTATCACTGGCCATTTCTCTGAATGTGATGTATGAAGCTTTCAGGCTGTACTGTGTTACTGTGAGAAAGCCTGCTAACAGGGTTGTCTGTTTTCAGTTTGCATGTATTTGCACTAGTTTGAAAGCATAAAAAATAAAAATTATTTTTAAGCAGCAAAAGACTTGATGATTTTTCCTTGTTTGCCACATATGCTGTTGTTGAAATTAAGGGTCCTTATTGAGTCTTAGTGAATAAGATTTGGATTTATGTCAAATGTGAGTGCAGATAATGTTAGTGCAATAGCTTTGCAAATGTCAAAATGTCCTTGTTATTAAGATACAGATCCAGAAAAATCTTCGGGTTCCTTTAAAAGTGTATCTAATGATAAATTTTAATGAATTTCTGAGATTGGTTATACTGTGTGAGTGATTCTAATTTTAAAGTCATGATTAAACATTTTAATCTGTAACAGAACAAAGTCTGGTATAAATATGGCTAACTTAAAGATGAAAAACAAATATGAAAGGCAAATTTCATAAAAAAATTGAATTTGCCTTAAGACAGCACTCTGCTAATGTCAGAATTAGATAACACTGCCATCTTGTGGACAATAAAGGAAGCATTTGAGAACGGTTAAATAAATGCAGCTGTGAACAAGATAAAAACAATTTGCTTTTTATTATGATGTTCCCTCCTCATTTGCCTTTAAATAATAACTTTTCATAGAAATGTATTCATATCAATATATCAGGTTGCAAATAATTATCCACAACAATGTAACTACTGAACACTACACAAGAAGTGCCACTGTAAATAAGTCTGACAAACACAAAAACACAACAGTCCATGCTTCAGCATATAATGCAACCCAGGGTGATGAAATAGAATTTAAACTGAACCAGAGTAAATCTTTAAGTTGTCTACAATACACCTCACTTTGAATTGAACAAATAAATAAAATACACAAATATATAATATACATTTTCAAATGCACTTAAAATTGACAACAACAATCCTGGTCTCTGTTTCTCCATCAATACAATTTGTGTGACTACATACGAAAAGGACCCCCTTATCAAGTACATATTACACAGAGAGCTTCAAAAGACGTGTGCTCCTCCCGCTGATGAGTTTTGGCAGTTTGCACAGACAGCTACATGTTTCCTCTAAAGCAGTTATTAGTTGGAGAAACAGCATTGCCCTGGTTAAATTGTTGGGGGTGCGGAGCATGCTGTTTGATCAGAGGCATGCTGCTGTAAGTAAAGGCACTCAGCATGCCCTATAGGCAACCTCCTCCTATGTAACACTCATTCATTACACATTCTTTGTATTCCTGTGTGGGTGAACAGCCCTCAGGTCCACCTTCTGGTACTTCCCTTCTTCCATGGCGAGACAAATACTGGAAATACTGTAGTACAGGGATTAACACCTGACGCGGTGTGTTTTAAGCTACGTAATGCTATTTTGGTTCACATGTTGGGTGGAGGCAGTGTATCATCACACTCATATCCAGTATGTGTGCCGTATTAGAATCCTGTGTGTGGAGCTTCTCATCACTGGGCAGTCCAGCGATGTGTATCTGTAGCTGAGTGAGTCACAGAGAGTCATGGACATTCTCCTCAATGAATAAAATCCAACAGGCACGGAGCCAAGCGGCTTGGGAGTCATTAGAGTGTGCTAGTTTTGGATGGAAGAGTGTTGGCTGAGGGAGACCATTGATCAGGCCGCTGTCCTCTCCACAGAGCGTTATCTTTGTACTGAGTTGACTCTTGGTTTGTTACTCCTGTCCTCGGCTTTGCTCTCTCTTTAACTCACAGGGTTAAAGCAGTGATCCACACAGCAGTATTGCTACGGTATACTGCTATGGTGCACTGCAGAGGTATAGTGTACACCTGCTAACACAATTGTACATCTACAATTGTGTTAGCAGGTGTACACTCCAGTGGTTAAAAAGATACAATATGGTGGGTTGAGTGCGGGTCTTTAAAGGTGCTACATGTAACATTTTAGCATCAATACATCATTACCACATCAACTGTGAGACATTAGTATAGTTTCTGTGAACAACTGAGACCACTGACCATGTGATTGGCTTTGGTGGGGGAATTTGCTGGAGTGCTCTGCTGGAGGAACAGAAGAGTTCTTGGTAATTGTAATGATGGAGCAAGTAATCCTCTCCATTATAATTAGACAAAGTTAGACTTTCCAAAGAGCCTTGGAAAACTGAGATCTAATTTAATGTAAATGGTACATCTGGCAGATGGCTGATACTGGGCCACAAAGCGATTGCAAGGAAACAATATGATTTGTCTGGCTGCCCACAACAGTAGGATTCTGATTTTGAACTACGGTAGGTTATCAGTCTGTTATCAGTGAGTTAGCTAACTACTGTGTTAACCTAGCTGGTTAACATGAGTGATACAAAATCATCAAAAGAACTTCCACTACAGGACATGGAATAGTGGAGGCCTCAAAAAGTAAGTTGATGTAGTCATTGATCATTACCTTTGAGGACAATTTGATTTCCACCAAAATCAAAAGTTACATGTAACAACAAGTTGATAAAATCTATTAATGTGATGTTCAGGGAAAGAAAGCCAAAATGTGAAATGTATGTTCAACTTTAAAATATTTTTATTTGAACAACGGCTTTAATGACTATGTGTAATGGCGTTAAAGCTGTTGCTGGTTAGTCCAAAACCCACAGAGAATTAGCCCCCGACTCAGTTGTTCCATTCAGCTCTACAAAATGTTTAAAGCTGTTTCTAGCTGCAGCTAAAGACCCACGTTATAATTCACAGACTTGACTTGAGTTAGTCAAGTTCAAAACGAGTTAAAAGTAATGAATGAATGAAACACGGTAACTTATGCTGCACACCTAACCTGCTCCGAGGAAGTCATGTTCAGAATTTCAGATTTAAATTGGCAGGAAATAGCGCCTGGCCCTTTCACTAATTCTTTTCCTGAAGGAATATGAGCCTCTAATATCCTAATAATATCCTCTATCAGTGATTCTCAACTAAAGGAATATGTTATATATCAAAACAACGCCACAGGATAAAGCCCTGTAATTCCACTTTTTGCCACGGGAACCTCCATTATTTGGTTGATGCAGAAAATATTTTGTTCCTCTTTGCTTCAGGTAATATTGACACTTTTACACAACATATCATCCATACACTAAAGGAATGATGAAAGGACAGCAACTACAGACTACAGAGATGCTGTTTTTATGCTCTGTCCTGATTTGTCTGTTTTGCACTGCTGGTGTTGCAGCTAACTGAAAAACAGATTAGAAAACTGATTAGTCCATTGGTATTCAACATGCATGATGTAATATCGATAAAATTCATTTCACTTTGATTTGTCTGGTTTTTCTGCCAGAATTTCTCTTTTCACTTCTTTGCAGCAACAGAGTTGCTTTTTGCTGTAATATTTATATTCCTCACTGCGCTCCATTAAAACAACCTGTTCCTCTTGACCGAAGTAGGCGGCACGCCATTTCTCCATTTTCTGGACAAGTGTAATGACGTGTCAAACACCACCTTTTATGGGAACGTGCACAGAGCCTAATGAAGAAACCTTCAGTCAACAAATAAAATCACCAATTACTTGTGATTGGGGTTTTAGGTTTTTTAAAGCCAGCTAACAAAGCCCTCAGAGCTCTCAACCATGGTCTCATTTTGTTTACAGTAATTATATTATTGTACCACGTTCAATGTGACAACGACCTGCTGATGTTTGAAAATGCTACACGCTACTCCTCTAGCAGTACTCCTCTCCCTGTGGGTCCGGCAGGTCGTTGAGGTCCAGGAAGATGGAGGCGTTGGAGAGTTTGCGGCCGTTGGACGACAGATCCAGCAGCTCCTCGGCAGTGCTCGGCACTGAGCTGATGTACATGTCCCACACCTGCTCCGGAGAGTCCAGCTCCAGCAGCTTCTGCTTGATCTTCAGGTTCTTCTCAATGTTCCTGCGCTTGTGCTTGAACTCCAGGATGGTTTTGGTGTAGCGGTTGATGGTGGTGACTGAGGACGCCATGCAGGCTGTGAAGGAGCTCCACGCCAAACTACAAGAAACAAACACAAACAGCTCTTCATTCAAACTAGGACATTATTAATTCAGAGGTATCAGCTCATAATTTAAACATTATAACCTGGATAAAGTTTCAATTGATTCAGAGGAAATGAATATCCCTCAAAATGGGCTGAAAATATGGACTACTGCTTCCTGAACTAGCGGCTAGAGAGGATAACAAGATTTTAAACTGTCATGAAAGTATGAAAGTAAAATATGACCCTGACACAACAAGCTTGTTTTCTTGAAATCACAAAATAATTATCTTGACATAACCATTACTCCATTTCAGCATAACAAGCTGTCAAGACCATTTTTCTCATGATCGGGTAATAATTATTGTGACAGGGAAACGATAATGACATGCCTGTTTTTGACTACCTTCCACATTCAACAAAAGTTGTTTATTTTAATAACGCCATTTAAGATGTGTGTGCTGGCCATTTTTCTTAGTGCCAATTAAATCTTAATGCTCCAGGATACACTGATATTTGATAGCAGTATGCTTCCAACTTCAGCAGTATGTGTTCAGTCCTTTCGTGTTCCAACATAATAATCCCCCCTGTGCACAAAGCCTGACCCGATTGACCTGCACAGAGCCCTGACCTCAACCCCATCCAGCTTGTTTGGGATGAGCTGGAGCCTTGTCAGCCAACATATGCGTTGGACCTCACTAAATAGGATCAAATCCCTGCAGCCTGGTTCCAAAGTCTAGTGGAAAGCCTTCCCAGAAGAGTGGAGGCTGTTAATGCCCATGTTGGAATACAATTCAACAAGCACATCTGGTTATAATGTTTAGATGTCCACTTGCCCTTGGCCACTTAGTATATGAGAAGGTCAGTATACTGTACTTCCTTTTCTTAGTATTATGTGAAATTTAAGTATATATACTTGGGTTTTGGACTGTTGGTTTGACAGGTGAAGATGTCAGCTTGGTTTTGGGAAATTGTGATGGGCATTTTTCTGCAACATCCGCCTGTCCTATAACAACAGTACCTATTCCTAATAATCTCCATCAAGACTGATCTAAATTAATTAAGGTAAGTGAACTTGTTTAGTTACAAATCACATTTAATAAAAGCAAAGCATTCTGCAATTCGCTGGTGCTACAGAGATCTGCAGGTTGTCAAATGCTGTAAGTGAGCTCACATGTACGACCAGCTGTAGTCCCACGTTTGAGGTTTCCAGTCCTCTGGGCCCAGGCTGACAGTCAGCTGGAAGGCTGTGGTGAACATCATGTGGGCCACCATACCCAACAGACCTGCCAGACAGGAAACGTGACAGAGAGAAAATCACATCCTGTGGAGAGACAAACCGCTGCACTTCTCTGCAGTCACCACTTGGTGGCAGCGTTATATTATGCCAGGCTGAATCCCCACTGAGCCAGCCAAGTAAACCTACCTTACAGTGAGCATCATTTAAGAATAAATCTGTCATATACCACTTTTCCTCCCATATAGGAGAGCCAAGCCCCTATTTAATTTTCTGTTAGGTGTTCAAATATGTTTCTTTCTTTTGTGTAACCTTTGATTGCCATTTAAACACCAAATTTGAGCTAATTAACTGCCAGTGATGGAAAGCAACTAAGTAGTATATTTACTCAAATACTATACTTATTATTACTTAAAATAGTAACACTTCACTGTATTTCTACTCCACTCCATTAAACATAGTTTTTACATTTCACAGCTCAAGTTACTTCGCAGATTAAGATAAACATAAAAAGACATAACATGTTTATAAACCATTATTCCAACCATTTTTAGTTTGTGACACATTACTAAAATGCAGTGTATAGATCCATTTGTGGTGTCTACAAGTTGTTAGCAGGGTCTTTTCCCTTTTTAGCTCCTCACATCCATTTAAATAACTGTTCATGGTCATTTATGTTGATATGTTTACTGAATCTAATTGCTTCTTCCACCACTGTCTATTGCAAGCTAACGTGCGTCACAATCAATATGCAGCTGATTCTGAGGCTTGTAGTACCTGGTGCTGCTATTTTCAAATTGCCTGTTTCGGCCTGATTACCTGACCAAGAACAGACATCTATATCGATAAAACAATGACCACTCCACCTTTTACAAGGGAAAAATAACAGTGTCTTTTATTGCAGCAGAAATTCTGTCACTAGTGGAGTTTTTTGTGTTTCTTTTGGTTGTTTCGGACATTCTTATAAAATCAGGATAAATACATTTTTCAGTAAATTTCAGTCACCACAAAACAGCGCAGATAAATTATTTACTTATGTATGAAACTAGCCTCTGACTATGACTTACAAATAGGATTAACTGGTGCATTAGAAGTTACTGAGGAATAAATATGGTAACCATGCAATGAGTGTTTTTGTTTGTGAGACAGAAAAAGTGTTGAAGAGAGAGAGAGAGACAGACAGAATTGAGTGTTTGCTAAACCCCATCCCCCGACAGTGCTGTTGCTGTGCATGCCAAACTTTCTGTTCTCACATTGTACTTGTGCAGGTTTTAATGATAACAGAGGCAGATTTATATCTCAAAGTGCATGAGCAAATGCTTGTTATCAGAATGGGGTAGACAAAGGCAGACTTCTCACTTCTAGCCAGCTGACATCCATCGCTTGCAGATTTGATCTGATAGTTAGTGTTGGACAGTTAGCTGAGGACACGCCGTGAGTTGGCCAAAAAACATCCAGCTCACTTGTTTTAAAACCACAACTATGTAAACGTAGACACCCAAACTCCAATATAGTGGCATCTTGGCAACCATGAAGGTATTTTTCTTAAGTAACCTGTGTATGATACGGTCAAAGGCTTTGGAAGTCGCACTAGATTCATAACCCTAAGCTTGACAGAAATGACGGTACAGATTAGCTATTTTGAGAGCACTGCAATTGGTCCTGTCGGTGCATTTTTATCTTCCACTTCCAATCAGTGCTACTCATTGTCCTTTTCTCAAGTGCACTTGTCCCTGTCTCTTCTCTGGTTTTCTCTACTCCCATTCTTTCATTTTTTCCTTTTGTGTCTGTGTTTCTTTTCTCAGCTACGTGCCAGTAAGCACAGGCTCTGGCTCTCCTCACACTGGACTTCTCAATGCCTATAAAATAGAGCATAAAATAAAAACCAGCATGTGTAGCCTACCAATCCGATTACCACATAAGCCCCCCCAAATCCCTGAACTGAACAGGAGCGCACCACATTCAGCACCTAACACCTAAATTCCCATCTCATCCCTATCAGCCCTCATGTTTATTCCTAAAGATATCCCAGTGCAATATTATCATAATGTTATGCAGATCAGAGCAGCTTTGTGTCAGGATGAGTGGAACAAATTTAGGATTCTGCGTCTTGGCACGTACTGTCATGAGGAAATCATGCACGTTTGGCTCACTCAAGGTCTGATTATTGTATGTTTAGTGCCAAAAAGATTTACAAGGACATGTAGCATCACAGGTGTGACTTTCCTTGCACTGTTGAGCTGGACTAGAGAGAGAAAGTGGTTTAGTGTAGTCAGTAAGCATTGTCATGATTGCCAACAGCCACTAGAGGGCAGGTTATCAATGAATCAAAGAACACATGAATGGATAAGAGGCTTTTAATGGAATTATGGTGTATGAATAAATATGTAGCACAAAATTCCCAGTCTGTCTTGTTTTTTGTTCTTTTTTGTTTTGGTTTATGACTACATGTTGTCCACAAGCCTCAATGAAAGTTTTACAATAGATTGTGTTGTGTCTTCATTATTATGATGTTAAGAATCCCTACTTCTATTTTGGTTCATTTTTGCTCTGTTTTTATATGATCAAAAAAAAACAAAAAACATTTCTGCTACACTAAAGCCCCTCCTGAATTACTGGATATTTATATCTCTAAAAAAAAAGAAAGACAAGAATAAAAATCCCCGAACTTGGCCCAACCAAATGCAACTTGTAAAGAAGCATCGACATTTTTCATGTTTTTAAAGGCCCCTATATGCTGTGAGAGAACAGTGACCTTGCAGATTCACTGCATGTCATGCTGTGTGAGATGGTTTACTACAATCTCGATTATAAAACGGGTAGGTCAAATCAAGCAATCTGATTGGTTCATAGTAGTGATATGACGAGTGTATACGAACGGGTATATGACACTGAATTCCTTTGCACAGATCTGTATCACTCCGCTCTGATGAACAGGGTTCGAGTTATAATCCGAGCTTCGTGGGGGTCTAATGCCCCATTTTGATCTGATAGGCTACAGATCGCATTTTACCGGCGGAATTAAATAAATAATGAGAGAGAGAAAGAGAGAGAGAGATTGCTTATTACATGATTCAACATTTCCCTCTCTCAAACACAGGAAAACGCGCACACATACACACACACACACACACACACACAAACAGTCCACTACTTGCCCCAGATGTCTGTGATATTGCAACAAAGTTTAAGTTTCAATAGCCTGTTCAAAAGACTATTGCTCAAGGAGAGACGCAATTCCGTCCTTTCTGGTAGGTATATTAAATATATTATATAGTATATTAAAGTGTTATTTTTTTATACACTGCTGGCTGCCAGCACACAGTAGCTATATATACACAGTTTACTGTATATATATGTATGTGAAGATGAAACGTTCATATTATCATCTGGTTGCTGCTGTTTACATTCATCCCAGATGCAAATTCATTGTTTTATTTTATTTTATATGTTACTTTATATGTTATGTTGGGTTGATAACCAGAGATTAACCACCTTTTTCTCTCGACTGTCACCTTTGGTCTGAGACGACCAAGAAAAAGGCACTAGTGATCTATTCCATTTCCATTTGGTTTAACATAGTTCATTGTCTGTCATTATTAAGTGCAAAACATGCTGCAGTACAACTTAGTACTTTTTTTCGTCATAGTTTTCGTTAACAAAAAAACAAAAATGTTCTTCAGCAACCTTTTTTTCATGACTAAGACGAAACATTGATGGACTGAAAGTAGATCTTTGACCTTAAAACTACAACTAAATGTATGTTGTGTTTTCATTGACAAACTAAAATGTTACTGATGGGCTATTGGACACTCATGATATTTACCCTCAATTGTGCATCTAGTCTGTCTGTCAAAACATAGACAATGCATCCATGTCATTGATTGATGTGTGCAGACTGATGTGACGTGGGTAGATTCCCAGAATCCCAGGGAATGCTGTCCCAAACCGACAGCGAGGTAATGACAATAATATAATGGCTTCAACACAAAAAGGAAAAAAAGAATAGCTCTGTGGACACACCGTAGTTATATTCAGCAGAAAGGAAACATAATGCACTGTAGTAACGTGAGACGTGTCTCTGTCTCCCTTAAATTAGGTGGGAAGAATAAACCAACCTGAAGAGACGCCTGATAGCACACCACCCTGATATTTATGCCACGGTAAATTAGCTAAATGGGGTCCAAATGTTAACTAAGCATATAAACTTACTAAGGTTAAGTCAATGTTACAGGGCAGTCAGCTATGTCAATTTGTGGCCAATTTGCTAGCAAGCCATGTTGGTGTAGCCTGAGTAGAAGCCAGTTTTACTCACAAAAAAAAGGGTTTTAGTTTGCAACTGGCATCCAGGCTAACTTTAAAGGTTCAGTGTGTAAGTCTTTGAGTAACATTACTTACTCTCTAGAGACTTTTGTCCGTTCGGGCTACTGTAGAAACATGGTGACTTCCATGTAAGGGGACCTGCGGTGTATGTTAGATAGAAATGACAGTTCATTATGTAAGGTCTTTATACACCACTGAAAACCAGGGTACCCGCGGAGTCTTAAAAGTATTTTAAAAAAAGTCTAAAAATAAGGCTTTAAAAGTATTACATTTTGATTAAAAAGTATAAAATTTTGTTTACAAAAGGTCCTAAATCTTTTCTTGTCCTTTCGTATGATTAAATAAATGCACTAACATCATAAATAAATATCTTTTGTGTGTGTGACTTGTTTGGTGGTTCCGAAAAGGTGGTGCCAAAAGACTTGTTGTGGATGTGGAGGAACGAGATGGCGTGTAGGTCGGATTGAGGTCAGGGAGATCAGTAGGGGACAGATTGTGGAGGGCTTTGAATGTTAATAGTAATATTTTAAAGTTAATCCTTTGTGATACAAGGAGCGACATGTTGTTACACACTGGACCTTTAAGTTCATGTGTTGGCTAATGTTTAGTTTGCTAGCATCAAAGACTGTGGGTGAAACATGCAGGGCTTGATGGTTACAACTTGTCCAGGACCAGCATGCTTTATCAATTGTCATTTTTTAGTTAAACATGTAACGGAAACTGTGT